AGAGGTGCCAAAGATCTTGATGCCCAACAGCTCCCCCATCTTCCCGCAATCCTGGGTGGCCACGCCCATCACGTAGGAGATGGGGTAGAACAGATAGGAACACACCAGCTGAAATGGTATCATATTTATAACGCCGAAAAGCACTTGACATCGCTGTGTCATATCAAACTTTATGTGTGAATGCAAGTACAAAAGAAAAAAACATTTCCTGCAGAAAAATAGCATCCTAAAGCCATCACAGACGGAAGGATTAAATCTTCTCTGTGAGCAGAGCTGACGACAAAGATTTTTCATTCAAAGACAGGTGACGTCGGCACCATTGCAAACGAACTTACCAACGACGCGGTAGACGTTACTCGGTGTCAACAAAGGAGACAAGTAGCACGCTACCACTTTTCAGGAAGGCCATGGTTAGGTGAACATTTGTTGCATTAAACTGTTCATCTGTTAAATGCCATGACTTATCAGAAACCTGTTACGCAGGACTGGTTAAGAAGGTAGTATCCTGCCCATGTGTTGTGACCTGGAACATCCAGATCTTTGAGTAGGTAGTTCCAATGGTTTGCCACTGTCTCCAAATATCACTCTGAGAGACGTTAAAACATGCAAGTATCATGATGAGGCAGCTGCTTTCAATCCAAGCCCTGACACTTTGAGGTCATTATCATTTGTTTCATCCAAGTAGTTTTCCTCCAAATTCAAAATTGTGTTTGGTTTTTATGCATATCATTCATATGTCAACATATCCAACTAAGAACTCGGAGGTCTCCTTCAACAGAGGACTTGAATATATATAACAATGCTTTCCTCTCTGAAGTCGAAGACTATGGTTATATATTCACCCCAAATGAAAGGCTAGAGAATCCTGCCTGTCTTCCGAACCACTCCAGGGTCTTGTCAACAAACCTCAACATGGCGACGAAGGCGATCATGCTCGCGATAATGTTGGCAATGATTTTGACAGCCTCAACGGCACCGCTGGACAGAGCGGAGAGGATGTTACGATGCTTTCTGGAAGACAATGTTCTCAGTATAACACGTCCCATTTTAATTCTGGAAACCCAATAGTCCAGAAACTCTACGGTCTTTACCCAGTCTCGGTCAAAGGTATTTAATAAATTAAACATGCTGTTTTCATGGGAACATAACAAGGAAGAAAAAAAGAAAAAAATGTTCAAAACTCAATATTTACACTATGTCGCCCATGGGCGAAAATATATGTTCCTTTACTTAAAACTCATGTTTTTGTTTCGCAAATACATAAATGTATTTCTTTCAAGTATCATGACAATATTCAATGTTAAGAAAAGCTACAAAATTCTTCCTATAATCCTATGAAATATTTGCTAAAAGCAGAGTCCATTGTACTATTCAGACATGTGTCTCATAACATGTGTTTATGAATCACTATCATATAGTGATAATGTCAGGTGTTCTCGAAAAGGGTAAGCGTGTGGTGCTCCAATAGTCGCACCCGCTACTCACACTGTTTGTAAGTGTTTGGGGTGAACACATAGTTCAGAAAGAGTACCTGTAGAATTAATTAGGCAATGCCCATCATTTCCTGAACCTGGTCATCACCTGAGGCAGTGTATCTGGTTGTACAGACACAAGAGGGTCTTTCAAACCAGTGAAGTTGGAGTTCTGACCTCGCCACGCTGTCGACTGAGCCACAGTCTGTATTTAGTTTTATAATGTAAGATTTCTTGTAAATATCTATCAATTGTGGGAAATCGTCCAGCGAACCGTAGCGTGAGATTGAAAAACCAAGGGATTGTAAAGCAAGTGAAATGAGAACCGCACTGTGTAAACTACATTCAACGTAACATAGCGTGTGTATGCAATACTGAATGACGAAGAATAAATCTAGCGCAAAGATGACAAACAAACAAACATAAACCAGTAACATTATCTGTCATCTTAAACATTCCAGATATTTGAGCTGAAACTTCAGACTGAACAATGTTCGTATTTGTTGGTCAAATCAAAGTTCAAGGGTAAAGATACCCTTGCCCGCAGTCTATCTCAATCCCTTAACCAATTCATTCACTCCAGTAGCTTACTCTAGTCCCAGTTCCATCTTCACTCCATCTCTGAAGTACGACTTCTTTGTTTCTGGACACATGAGTTTGGTGATGGCGAGAGCGGCGGGGGCAGACATCACAGCAGCGGACAACAGATGGTTGGCGGGAACCTGCACGTGCGACACGTGTATCCTAACTAAAAGTCTTACAACATGCACGATCTGGCCTGCATTACTTCAGGCTCTCAAGAAGCGTTATAGCAATCATGTAACGTTTTCCTCAATCAGTGCAAATATATCATTGTGAATTAATAGGAAGACACACATAATTATACAAGCCATAATCCATAATCATATGAAATATGTCCGATTCCGACTGTATCATATGCATGTGTTCATGAACCACTGTCAATTAGTGGTGATACCAGGTGTTCGCAAAAGGGGGAGCGTATCCTGCCCCATTGGAGGAACCCGTATTAAACACATGCAAAGGCAAGTCAATTGTTCATCTATAAAAACACACGGAGAACATAACGTACAAATAAAAATAGGGAATTGCATCGGACATCATTCTGTCACTCATGCGCCGCATTTGGACATGTTCTCCATGGAAATGAAACGTCAACTGGGGCATTTTATCATTGAAAAATTTACTGAGTTTAGCTGATTGAAAATAATTATGGTGACATGAACAAGTACTCACTCCGAGTTGTATGTATGACCCCAAGATGCCGCCACTGACGCTGGCGAAACCACACGTCATGATGGCATGAAGTTCTGATTCCGTCACATGCTTCAAATACGGTCGGACCAAGAGAGGCACTTCAGCCTACAAAAAGCGTAGTTACATTGGCATATGATGTCACACTCAAAGCATGGTATCCCTCTATGGAATACTGGACAGAACACAACTGTGATTTATTATTTCATCTTTTTACACGTACATACGATTAAGTTTTACATAATCACATGTGTTCCATATATATATATATATATATATATATATATATATATATATATATATATATTTATAAAGAATATACATGAAAAGTGGTTGAATGTTGCTTTGAACAGTACTTCAGTTATATTACAGCTTGTCAGCTTCATGTAGAAGAAAATCTAAAAGTGATGCGGTCTTGTCACTTTTGGTAAACGTATTGTATTAAAAAAGAAAAATCATAATCAGAGCACATCTGGGATTCGAACTAAATAGCAAAGGATAATGGCACACATCAGGGACGCAACTCTGCACAGTCAATTTTGGTTCAATTTGGGTGTGACTGGCCGCCTATGAGCCATAAACATTAGAAATTTTGAAAATATTTCCCCCTACCAGGCCTATGAAGATGTTCGCCGAGGCTACCACAGACTCGATGGGCCCACAGTCCAGACAGAAGGACAGGAAGGACCCGAGTTTATTCATGATCGCCTGAAGCACACCCATGTGGTACAACACGGATATCGAGGCGTTGAAAAACAACACCCCTGGCATCACCTACAACATGAAGACGATGGAGTTAAAGAGAAGCAGCAAATAAAATGTGAACTTAAGCGGTAAAAACGTTCACTTAAGTATGTGTCTTGTACATGTAGCATATCATTCACTGGAAACACATTTAACGGTAGTTATGTTGACAAGGTATCAAACATACTCACAGCTTCACACTGCTTCTTCGCTTGCTTATTTCAACTTCAAAAGGAAATATACACACCTAAGCTTACATCTGACATTGCATGTAGTTGTGAAGGTAACGTTCAATGACACTGAACAGAACACAATCAGTCAGACCTTTCCTGGCAGGATCATGGTTGTTCTTTTGTAAGCATGAAGAGGTTTTAGCTATCACTGATTTTAGGGGTTTGTTCTTTGGACCATTTGCAACAAAATATAGTCAGACCCACATTATTTTGAAACTTTGGACACAGGACATTTTGACACGAAACTCTAGATTCTAACAACAAAGTCAAGTTAAGACACTGTTTATCCGGCCGTTATTTCATGAAGCAAATAAAAGTGTTTCTTGTACTCACAGCAAAAGCTATCCTGTGATCCCGGAAGGACTTCCCGAACACAAACTCTGCTCCAGCATTAGCGTGGTTTATGAATTCCTCCACACGGTGTCCAATCCACTCAAACACCCCATACCCCCAGGGCGTCCGTAGAATAAGCAGGGCGAACACAAACTGAACCGCAATACCCCAGAACACGGGGTGCCAGTTCACCTGAAGACGAGAATGTGTGGAGCGAAAGGTTTGCATAAGACTATCGTAATTGATAAATGGAGTCACAGAATACAATACAAAGTAATATAGTGAGACCGGATCATTACATCCTTATAGGCGTTACATTCAATGATACTTGCAAATAAAGCCACACAGCTCTTTCCATATTCATAAGACACCTCGTCTAAAAGATGTTGATTTTACGATTCCGACTTTAAAGCAAAGTAGTGATGATACCAGGCATTCGTTAAAAGGTGAGTGTAAAAGGTGGCACCCATCACAAACACATGCAAAGGCAAGTCAATTGTTCACCTGAGAACAACAAGGGAACATATGGTACAAGTCAAACTAGGGAATTGCAACAGGCATATTTTTGTCACTGATGAATAAAATGTGACAATGTAAACACGAATGTACCCACAAGCAGGGCACAATGAATGTTAGCATGCCTTTTGTCATCCATGTACCATTGTATAAGGTAACCATATTATGAGGAGTGGATGTTTTGTGTCGGGAGCCATAATGGTGAGACAATACAAATATGCAGCCCACAAAGACATAATCAGGACGGGGAGATCACTCAGACTGGTTTCTAATGATCTCAGCACAATCTATTAATGTCATTCGAATGTTATGGAATTTGCATAGACACATTACTACACACCTTGGCGGGATTGGTGGAGAAGACAAACCCAAGACACATAAAGATTCCTACGCCCAGAAGTGCCTGGATATTCTGGGGGTTGTACCTGACCACGTCCAGTCCTATGTACACAGCCACCCCGGCGCTCACCAGCAGGTACAGGCCCCTGTGAAGACATAGACAGAGGGTTGCTCTGACCAGCGCACTGATACCCCATGCCAATAAAGAGGAATGGAGTTTCTTCTGTGAATTGAAGCAACTGGGGATGGTGTGTTTTTTACAGTAACCGATATTCGAAAGTATAGAAGCGATTAGTTCGAATAGGAGTCTCACCAACTCACAGGTGCTCTTGGAAACAGAGAGCGTAAGACACAGAGAGATAGACCATCATACTGTTGGTGGTGGAATGGGGTTTAACGTCGAGTCCAAGATTATTGCACTTATATAGCGACGTGCATGTACGTGTGTGTGTTTGTGTGGCTGCTTGTACTAGTCCGGACTGATGCCGATTTATAGTGCTAGCCCACTGAGATACCATGCCGCAGTTAACACGAATACCCCACTCAGACACAGTATACTAACTCCGAGCCGACCAGTCCTTGTTTTAGCCCCTTAATGCCGAGCGCCAGACAGGGTAACAACAAGTACCATCTTTTAACGTCTTTTGGTATGACGCGGCCGGGGATCGAATCCCGGACCTTCCGCTCTCCGGGCGGACGCTCTACCACTAGACCACGGAGGCGGTCCCATCATACTGTTACCTCATGGAGACGTTCTTCTATGAATTAATATTACCAGGACAATTGTGTTTTCTTACAGTATCAGACATTCGACGTGTACCAACTCACAGATGCTCTGGGACATAGAGAGCGTCACACCTGTGGTCAGGGGCTGGATGTCACACTGACCAGGACATGTTGAGTAATTCCATGCATAAATGAATATTTGACATTCATTCTGATACCCAATTGATCTTAATACCTTCTGATCCATCGTCGCACTGTGAGTGCCTTCTTCCTTCCTTCCAAAACTGACGTACATCGTCCAAGGCAGGTGAATTTGCACATGTCTTTGGTTGTTTTGTTCACCATGTACAGAGCTCCAAATACTGTTCCAACCATCAGACGAATGGACCCTTCGTCTCCAAATCTGCGTTTTGTGAACAATCGAGGTAATTATGCTAGGGAAATGTGAAGTAGGTGATACTGAATGTGCTGCTGCATTTGCAGCAGCAATATAACACTTAGTGTGAAATGATTTATTGATGTATATAATTAAAACAGACTCTATCCAGATTATGTTTCGAATTTCTAACAAGGCTTCAATATCAGATGAACAATGTCACTGCATCTATAGGGAACCACCGTCTATTCTTTGGGGCATGGGACGAAATTTGCTCTAAAAAGCTGATTATGAAATCCTCTTGACTCAGCTTTAGTCAAAAGCATAAAATGTACACTTGGAAACATGAAATCAATTCGCACCTGTCCTCTTTTCAAACAAATCAAATTGAATGATTTCAGTTTCCTTATAAAACGTTATGGTTATTGTGACACTACTTTTACTGCCATAAATGCAATAATAGCAAATTGAAAGAACAGTTGTAAAGATGCGATAATAGGAGCAGCAGTACATATAAAGAGTGCTCCTACCATGTGCAAATCAGTCACGTGTTATACGAGTCAGAGGCCTCACATCAGAGGCAAGTTCATCAATTCATGATCAGTTGTGAGTGTTTCCACAAACAATGTGGAACTTGAGTCAACAACTGAAGCAGAATAGTTCCATCAAGGTTGTTGGGAGACTTAGAACACACGGTAGACATCTGTCCATTCCAACCCAGACATGTAAGAGTGGTGACAGATCACGTGTCCTGCCTTGGATGTCTCAAGTGTTGTTTGCACCAATGGAGATGTCGATGTTGATGTTAAGCCATCAGGAATGACCGTCTGTCTACGCGCCTAGCATATGATGTTCCTGTTGACTTTGAATTGACATGTGATGTCGCGTAACGTGGTATGGAATTCAAGTATCCCTATAGCTGGCCACCTGTTATTGCCATATAGTCGTGACATGGTGACTCTCAAGTGATCCAAGTCCGAAGATTTCTTAGATTGGCAATAAATATGCAATAGCAGACATTCGTCTGGTTTACTTTTCATAAATATTTTCCCTGGTTCAAATCCATAATTTTTCATGAAAGTTTTACGCAAATTCACTTCATAATTACATTTGACTTTGAGAATACAAATCACTGGTTTGACTTGTGCAGACTTGACTATAATGTGCCACTATCATTTGGCTGGAATATTGCTAAGTGTGGCATTACACCAGAAACAAACAAAACAAAGAACTTACTTGTAGTACATACAATACCCGAAGTAGGCGAGGTAAAGCAGCAACAGCAGTCCTTTGACAACAGCAACCATTTTACCCTTGTGCTTTTCAATGAATCTGCTGACTGAATTCTGTAAACGCATGATCGCAGAGCTCCAGCAGTTGTCTTCAAAGTCTAGTGTGTTATCTGTGTCCATGCCAATCCCAACATCCTTCACTGTTACAGGTGCGCTGTCATTTCCTGGATCAGTTGAGTCCGTCATCTTGCCAGGTGTTACCTTCGTGGAGATGAGGGAGCTACAAGTAATACAACTGACAATACCCTCTCTAAAATCACAATACAGTAAACTACGTTTGTAACGAACACGCTTAAAACGAACAGACCGATATAACTTACATATTTTTAGTCCCGTTCATGAGTTGTATATATGTTGTATATATGTTTATAACGATCTCCGGATATTACGAACTTCTAGTGGTCCCTTTGAGTTTGTTATAACCGTAATTATAAGAAATCTCTGCTAAAAGCATGGCACTTCAATTTAAACGTCAACCTGGCGACGAAGGCGATCATGCTCGTTATAATGTTGGCGGTGATCTTGATGGCCTCAACGGCACAGCTGGACAGAGCGAAGAGGATATTACGATGCTTTCTGGGAGACATCGTTCTCAGTATTCAATTTTTTAATGAAAGCTACAAAAGCCTTTCCATGATCCTGTGAAACCATTGCTAACAGCAGAGTCCAGTGTACGATTCCGACTATATCATAAAGATGTGTTAATAACTCACTATCAAATAGTTATTATGTCAGATGTTCGCGAAAAGGTGAGCGTACCGTGCCCACCGATGAAATCCATCATAAACACATGCACAGGCAAGTTAACAAACACGGGGACATACGGTTAAGACAGAAAATGGAATTGCATCAGACACTGGTCACTGATGCGTCACATCTGGGAATATCCTCCGCATGTACATGTCAACCACAAAATATTTTGAAGACGTTACTGAGGTCTTGAATGTTGTAACCTTGGCCAAACATCTTCTGATCAAGAGTCGTATGACTCTCTTTGAAATCTTGGTAGAAAGAACATGCTCGATTGTATCTCAAAAGTTGTGAAATGTAAACACAAAAGGCTGGAGCTGCTGGAATATTGCTCGACATGAAGGGAAAGTTGACAATTGGAAAGATGAAGTCAATCCTCTTGTCATACAGTCTTGTGGAGAGTGTTTTGTCTCGTGAAGGTATTTTGGCACTTTCTGAATCCTTATGCATAGTACTAAATATGAAACAGATGAGGCGGTCTCACTCGTCTCTTTTATTCCTAGTTCGGGTAGGTAAACAAGTGAAAGGGAATTGGATATTTGATGGTTTTTGTACGATATCAAATCATCGACATACCGGAAGCTTATGTTAAACTTCTCGGCCAAATTATCTTGTTTTGACTTTGCCAATTTGATCGGAAATTCCGATTCCAACCATAAAGAAACAGCAAGAAGGGGAGCACAGGTGGTGCCCATGGGGATGCCTCCTTCTTACCTCAATGTCTTACCCCCAAGGGGCGGTCGGGTAGCCTAGTGGTTAAAGCGTTCGCTCGTCACGCCGAAGACCCGGGTTCGATTCCAGACATGGGTACAATGTGTGAAGCCCATTTCTGATGTCCCCCGCCGTGATATTGCTGGAATATTGCCAAAAGCGGCGTAAAACCATACTCACTCACTCACTCTTACCCCCATTTTTTTACGTAGATGTTATCAATGAGGAAGTCCAGCATTTCACATATGTTTTTCTCAGTAAACATGGCATTTGCTTTCATTTACACAAATTGTACAAATTGGAAAGATTACTGATTACGACGGTTAGCCATCCTGACATCTATGGAAAATGACATTGACACGTTAATAGGATGCGAACATAAAGAGATCATACTGTGTTGTCACAGACATCGTGTACGGCTGTATGTTACATAACATCGGACGTGTGCAAGTGCAAGTGGCGACATGGGTTTACCTCAAAATACATATTCATTAGAACTTATTGGTGGTTCAATGAGAGAACATCACCGTGTGCGTGCATGCGATTCACTATGCTGGACATTGCTAACCAGATCCACTTGTCCTTTGTAAATTAAAGGGACCGACCATTTGATAGTCCGGGGGAGCAGGCCTGGGATTTTGTATGGAGATTAAATATGTTTTCAGCAACAACTACAAAACCAATTATTTAAAACTATAAGCCTGAAGAAAAACACCTTCCAACAATGAAAGTTTTGTGGCAGAAAATTTCTTTTTTGTCAACAGTCTGAAGCATAATTATTTATTTCAAGAATTTTCAGGGACAATAATTATTTTTTATTAAAATCTCTGCCCCAACGTCTCAATTGCATTAAATGTCTTAATAGATCAGTGTTCTCAGTGATACCGTCCCTGCATTCATTAGACAAATGTTGTTTTTGGTTCTCTGTTATATAGAGTAACGGGTGGTCCAGTCGTCTAAGGCGCCGCGACTCGCTGTGCAGAGTTGCGTCCCTTGGGCACGCAAGAAACCTATGATTGTGGGTTCGAATCCCTGTTCGCCCCGATTATGTTTCTAGGTTTGTCAGCGCCATACCCGTGCTCGTGGGAGACTTGCATCACTTCGGGCTTACCTCCCACATTAAGCTGACTCGCCGCGATATAACGTGAATACTGTGAAAAGCGGCGTTTAACCCAACTCACTCACTATAGTGTAAAACCATTGTCAGCTTTTCAGTGTAAGTTGTTGCGGTACTCTCAGTTTCTGTGATGCAACCAACATGTTCGTACTATGCTAATCCGTCTTCTTCACGTGTAGAGCTATCATGGGGTAATGTTACCATCCATATTCATCAGAGTCAGAGGTGTTCCTTGTGTACAACATTATGGTATACATAACACGTTAAACCCGGTCAGCCAGTCCGGGATTAAACATGTATATCGTTTAGCAGCCTTCTAAAGGCAGACCCCGTTTTCCTTTGAATGGACTTCATATATTCCACAGTTTGTGAGTAAATAAAACAATAAGATTCAATATCTATCTCGGTTTTCTGAAAAAAATAATAACATACGTATTGTGATATTAATTTTTTTTCACCTACTCAGTTACCCTGTAGGAAAGAAGAACACATTTGAAGTGGGGGGAAAAGGAGGAACAAATAGGTCTCGTGATCGTTGTCCTCTCGACAAATAACACCAGCATTTTAAAACCCTCAAAGCATTGGTTTAAATACGAACTCTCCATACCCTCGAAACAGCAGCAGCTCTAAGTCCCGCGGACATGTACAGTCAGTAAGTATATATATCACTACTGCTGCCTCGACACACACAATTGTTATGTCTCTCAGTGCTATTTATCATCATCGACTTGACAATGTACATGTACAGGGCGGTCGGGTAGCCTAGCGGTTAAAGCGTTCGCTCGTCACGCCGAAGACCCGGGTTCGATTCCCGACATGGGTACAATGTGTGAAGCCCATTTCTGGTGTCCCCCGCCGTGATATTGCTGGATTATTGCTAAAAGCGGCGTTAAACCATACTCACTCACTCACTATAAATGTGCGCTTGAACATATCATTATTAACAAACTTGAAATTCAAAGTCAAGCCTATCCGGCCACTGTTGAAATGATATACAGATCCCAACATTAAGAAACAAATGACACGAGAGAGAGAGAGACAAGACACAGTGGCGTTTAATGTCCTACCTGGCCGCGTCCCCCAGCTTGTACTGTTGAGCAGCCTGAACATATTTATGATGCGCCTACTTGAGCTGTCAGTAAACTGCAAGCATGCATCTGGCCCACTGTGCTCAATACATATTTTACATACCTCTAATGACGTCATCCCATTGATTTGACGGATTCTTTTGTTCGTAGAATAATTTTCTACAGAATATCACTCTGTCCAGGGGATATTCTACAGAAAGTCACTCTGTCCCAGAGATTTTGCATTTAACACAATCCAGGTAATACACATTACAAGTATACCTTGCGGAAATGTGCGATGATGTAAACTCAAAACTATTACTTATATTTCGGTGAGTGAGTGAGTGAGTGAGTGAGTGAGTGAGTGAGTGAGTGAGCCACTACAGAGGGGCTGTAAAACACAATACATTTAAGAATCTATATTTCAAGTACATGTACGCCAGCAAGATTTGTTTGTGTCCGTTTCCTGGTTCATGGAAACTATGTTTGGAACATAACATTCACGATAAGGTTAGGTATCTTTTATTGTTTCTGGTCCTTCTTCCATTCAGACGGTTGGATATGACATTGTAAATTTTGGGGCCGCGTGATATTCTTTCTTTCTCGAGTTTCACATTTTCAACCAAACCCTCGAAGACGTGTTATGTTCTTTACGTACCAACAATCACTTGTGAAGATCCGGATAAGAACCAATGCTTGCCATAATTGGCCGTATGCTTGTTGTGAGGGGCGACTGAAGGATTGGGTGATCAGGCTCGCTGACTTGGTTGATGCATGTCATCGTATCTCATTTGCGTGGATCGATGCTCATGATATCAGTCACTGGGTTGTCTGGTTCACACTCGATTATTTACGGATGGAGTTTGTCGCCTCTTACGACAAGCGTGGGTTGCTTAAGACCTAACCCGGAATATTCATGGGATGTCAGTCAAATGTCATGACAGTGGACATAGAGCGGCTGGCGTTATTGGAGTAGATGCTAGCTACTTGGAACTAGTAGTTTAACCCTGTGTCTGACCACTTTGAGTGAGTGAGTGAGTGAGCTGTGTTTAACGCCCCTTTGAAGAGTATTCCAGTTACATCACGGCGTGTGAGAAAGTCCGACGTGATGCAGGTCTCAGACGTTAACCACTTTGCGGTGTCTTGGACGACGTGCCTTAGACGACGTGGCCACCGTGCCCCTTGATCACGGTGAATTTCAAGTACAAAGTTGTCACACTCCCCATGGTTCTCGGTGCCTATGGTTTGTACCCGTGCCAATCTGTACCCGTGTTTGCTGCCAGGAATACAGCCATTCTAACAATGTCGGTAATGCAGAAGGCTGCAGTGTTGGGGAGTCTTCACATTCTCCGAAACGTTCTGGGTGGGTTTGACTGGGCAGCGCTTCCTGAGAGAAGTCCCATTCGCTGACTGGGCTTCCTTTAGAGGGGGCATGGGGCCTGAACTGATGATGAGCCTAACCAGCCCTACCGTGCCAGGATCACCCAAACCCTCTTCGCTGCATTTTCTATTTTGATCGGTACATAATAATAATAATAATAATAATAATAAT